GATCACCCAGCAACCAGGCAAGGAACCCTTTGCTAAAAATTTAGAAGCCCACCCCTGCATATATCTCATCTTCGTTCATTATACAGAAGAAAATGCACACACTTCCTATGGCCATGGCTGATGAAAGGGATGAAAAATTTCGAGAAGCCACGTTCAGCATGTTTTCCCTAAGTTGTCTTCCTCTCAAATGAATACCTCAGCTATAGTTCTATGTTGATTTAGATCTTCTGGCTTTGATGATTTACATCTTAGAAATTCCCTATGAATTATTGTTTATGAGGCTCTTCTTGAGAATGCATTTTATAATACTAATGTTTTAAAAAACAGTCTAGAATGATTTATTTCCAGTCTTTTTTCCCCATGAGCTCATGGCAATATACATAAAATCTCCCTCTCCTATTTTTCTACCGTTCTAACTATAGAGGTGAAACTAAGAGAGACGGGTAAACAATGGTATCCAATTTGGGCCTGCCTGAGTCATTCTCAAATATCTGAGCAACTGCAATGCACTTATCGGTTCCTGAGAGCCGGATCCCAACATTTCCCTTGGTATAAGTGGTCTTTTTGTTTAGGTAAAAGCAGAGGTGGGATTCTACCAGTTCAGACCAGTTCAGCTGACCCCCAGGCTCTGACTATTAGCTGGCAGCGAACCGGTTTGCTGTGATGATCATGTGGGCCTGCCCTTCCGCCCCTGCATTGTACTTTACCTATATCCTCTCAGCTGATTCGCACGGCAGAGCGGATTGCCGCTCCTCAGCTGTGTTACTCTCAAGCAGTAACATTGCAGGTAAGTTTTTTCTGGAAGATATTCACGCACACATTTGGCACATGCACACATGAAGTGTGCATGCACGCATGCAGGAAACATGCAATCATCGAACCAGTTGTTACACCGGCAACATCCCACCACTGGGTAAAAGTGACAACAGAAGGTGAGGCTCAACTCCAGTCCCAGCTGTGAAATACAGTGTACGCTCTCCAAAAAATCTACTTTGGTTCTGTTTCAGTGCCAGGCAAAGATCTTTTTCTTCTTTCCCATCTTTTATCCTCTTTATATTTCTGTTGTGCTTTCGTTTATTTTTAGATTTTCTGGTGATGCTTCTTTTAGCATTTCTTTTTAATTGGCTCTTGTTTTAACTGAATCTACTGGGTTATTTTCCCTTTGAGTTACACGGACTTTACTGATGTTTCATTCTATGTCATCTTAAAAGTGATTAGCTAACTAGGCAATTATTAAGTCTCAAAAAGTATCTGAAAAAATAAATGACAAGTCAGCTCAGGTAAAATATTCTAAATGCTGAAAGGACAGTTTACATTATCAAGCATATTATTTAACTACCCTATATTATTTCCTACCATGGCAAACTTTCTTTCCCACTGTGTTCTCCTGGGACATTTTACTTCTTTGAGGAATTTGAATAACACAGCACATTTTTCTGTATTCAGCTCATGAAGGAGAATGAGAAAGCTACATGATGAAATAAGCTCCATACCAATCAAGGGCACCAGTTTAAGTGTGATAAACTTCTGAACGTGATCAGAACAGAACAAGACATGTAGATTTTCAGTTGCTTTCCATTCTTAGATCTTGCTGAAAATGCACTATTTTTTTCTTCATCCAATGATGGACAGTAGCATCTTTAGGACTTTGGAAGTATGCAAGATCATGGATGCTTATGCCCTCATCCATCACATTTTCTCTTTATATTTACCTCAGCCTAGCGCTGGAAAAGTGAGCTATAAATCAATATCTGTAGTGAGACAAGCAGAAGACAATTATCCACCTCCATTTACTTTTTCAATAGGCATTAAGTCTTCCTACCAGTTCTCCAAGATCACTTCTAGCTTTAACTCATTCTGCTTTAAGCTCTCATCCTTCCCATGAAATCAACGAGAGCTGAACTCCACTACTTGTTAACATTTGCAGAAGAAATTATGTTGAGGTTGGCATAACTTGAGGCTAAATGGCTAGAAGCAGCCTGAAAAAAATAAGACATTTTATGCCTATGCATCTCAGCATAATAGGTGGGTTTTCCAATATCTTCTAGGTTGAAAGGGGCATTTTTTTCTTAATAGGTTTTTTTCCTATAAGTTTATATTTTTGATGCCGAAGTATGAGTCATATTATCAATGAATAGTAAATATTTAAGAAATCTGATTAATGGTATAATAAATGGGGTTGGTTTTTTTTTTGCTTGAATTGCATAAGCCCAATATACAACAGCAAATAGAATATGGATACATAAACCTATCGTAAATTCCCCTGAGTATTTATTTTCATGAGCAAAAATTCAGGGGCAAATCTACAACAAAGGTCTGAATTATTAGATATGCAATGCTAAACCACTATAGTGCTGATTCCAATCTCATACATAATTTGATTTCTGTATTTAAGATTTCTCCTCTAGTACTCACTTTTTTTCCTAATCCATTACAATATTGAGATGTTATCTTTCTGATTAGTGTATCTATTTGAAACCGAAGTGGAGGTTTGTATCAGAAGTTGAGAATCATACAAATTTGTAGTGTTTGGCAAACAAAGCTCCTTTTTAAGCTATTCTTAACCAGTATACATTTATTTAGCTTTTGGTAACTTCTGAAGAAATAAATAATTTTAAATAATAAAAAAAATCATAAGGTTCTCAATATTTCTACATGTTTATCCCCCGCAAAAGCAGGGTGAAAAAATCCATCTATTGTTCATATCAACACACAGTGTCTGGAAATTTTAACATACAACTCGCATCAACCACAATCAGCATGGTTACTGCCTGCTCATTATTTTAGCTTCTTTGTTGATTTCATTGACTGACAATTACAAAAGGATTAATGAACCTATGGTTCTCCAAACCTGGTGAATTATCTTCCACCAGTCTCAGTGAGATGAAAAATAAGGAAGAATTTTGGAACTGTAACTCAGCAAAACAACCATAGCCTCACAAATTCCCCATGGATGAACTATAAAAAAGCAAGTGGACTTTGGTTTTTCTTGAAGATGTTTTCACTTCTCATCCAAGAAACTTCTTCAGTTCTAACTGAATGGTGGAGGGCAGAAATATGTATATGCCTTGCAGTTCATCTGGTCGTTAGCAGGTTTGGCACCTTCTTGGAACTACTGAAAGGACTGTATTGTAAATAGGAGATAAGTGGTGTCGTATTGCTCCCCCTCTATTGAGAAAGGCTGTTCAAATACCACCTCCTATTGTGTCTCCTGTTTGCAACCAAGTCCTTTCAGCAGTTCCAAGAAGGTTCCCTACCCATTTGCACTATTTCAATGACCCTGAGGGCCCAGATAAACCTCCAAATGGCCTCCATGACTCACAGAATGAGTCCTAAAGACGAAATGAGTACAAGGAACATAAATCCTTCCATCCTCCATCATTCAGTCATAACTGAAGAAGCTTCTTGGATGAGAAGTGAAACATTTTCAAGGAAAAACGAAGTCCAGCTGCCTTTTGAAAAAAGCACCTTGGGGACAACCGTGACGTGGATGACTAAGAATGTCCATAGACCTGTAAATAAGCACTTAATTAATGCTGCAGAGTTTTCTCTACAAAAAAAAAAAAACATACCACATTTTGTGTAGCTTTGAGGTTCAGCTGCAGGTGATAACTGAAAGGTATCCATTTTAGAGTCTATTTAAGCTTGTTTCAGGGAATCCCTGAGCACAGCCTTGCAAACCTATGTTTCCCATCTCTGAAAACAAGGCATTCACTATAAACACCAGAGTGCCTCTAAATATATGCATTTTTATTGAATATACCCCAATGGCTCATCTAGGTTTAAGATAACAGTGTAAGTGCCATTTCAATAAAGGCTCTGACATGGCCTTCAGAAGGATGGCTCCAGATGTTTAGATGTTGGGAATCATGGAAAGAACACACATACACAAATTTATGTTCTCCATTGGCACATATGAATGTGATGATGTTCAAACCAGAATTTATACATAGCAAAACCTTTCATATGGGGCAGGCTCCACATACTATATTTAGGAATAGGGACATTTTGCTGAATTTCAGTTTTAGCTTTATAGCTGGTGAAGTGCGCAACACAGGCCCTTGTATGCACTCATCTTTGCTATTCCTTCTGTTTCCCCAAGATGTGAATCATTGAGCATATGGTAGCCCGTTAGTTTAATTCAAATGATAGATTCTGAGTCAATTCCTCCTGTTTCTTTCAAATAATTCTTCATTTTTAGAAACAAAACTATTTGTTTACGTTGTTTATTTTACAGTTCTATACATTAAATCAGTTATTTATTTTCATTTTAAGAAAAATGCACTACGGTAGATACCTATCTATCTCCATACTGTACATACATTCCTGCCTCCTAAAATAGCAATAGCACATAGACTTATATACCGCTTTATAGTGCTTTACAGCCCTCTCTAAGCGGTTTACAGAGTCAGCATAGTGCCCCCAACAATTTGGGTCGTCATTTTACACACCTCGGAAGGATGGAAGGCTGAGTCAACCTTGAGCCTGGTGGGATTTGAACTGCCAAACGGTAGGCAGCTGGCTGCAGAAGTAGCTTGCAGTACTACACTCTAACCACTGCGCCACAGAGGCTCAATAGTTATTTTCTTTGTATTATCACAATAATTCCAAACCAGAGGAAAAAATTGCATTATAACCAGAGGTGGTATTCAGCAGGTTCTGACCAGTTCTGGAGAACCGGTAGCAGAAATTTTAAGTAGTTTGGAGAACCAGCAAATACCACCTCTGACTGGTCCCGCCCTCATCTATTCTCTGCCTCCTGAGTCCCAGCTGATCGCCTGGGTCTTCTTTTGTTGTCCTGCACAGGATAACAGAGCTGGAAAGCAGGTTAGTGGGGTGGGGAGGGAATGGGAATTTTACAATAACCTTTCCCTGCCACGTCCACCAAGCCATGCCCACCAAGCCCCAGCCACAGAACCGGTAGTAAAGATTTTTGAATCCCACCACTGATTATAACCACAACATTACTTCATCTGAAATCCATATTAAAATTGACCTACCATTGCAGACATTGCCATCGTTGTCTTCACACTGTCTATCATCACACTCGCAAAGTTTGCCGTATATTTTGGACTCTCCAGGAGGAAAACATGTACATCGGCCACATTCACATTTTCCTGTGAGAACAGTCATCTCTCATTAGTCAAATCCAGCAACCAAGGTCAACTTGTTCTTGTCTATGACTCAACTTAGCAAACTGGCAAAGAAATATAAAGATCAGCCTGAAAGGAGAAGGCAGTGTTGCTTGTAAAGGAGACATTTTTAAAAGATAGTTGTGTAAGGGTTGTCTTGTGTTATAGGAACACGTAATTCTCTTAACCACATCAGGCTATTTATTCCTTGAGTTGAGTATTGCTGGCAATGGCTTGCCCTGTTTTGGACAGAGGTTCACCTTATCACTTCTGCTTTCTTACCTGGAGATGCTAAAGAGTAGATGTGGGTCTTCTACTTGGAAAACAAATTCTCCACCAGTGAGTAATTACCCTTCATTATCCCAGTGGCTTGGACAACCATTTCCCATGGTGGCTTTCCAAACTATTGTTGCAATATTAAGAACTCATCTCCCTACCTAACATCGGCCAAAAGGCAACTTCTACCAGTCCTACATTCTCAACTGTCATTAGAATCAGAAAGTGAGGGGAGTGGGAAAGGAGTGTATTCAGAGTGCTTAAGCCAACCAGATAATACCAAACAAGAGTTAAATCTCTGAAGTTGTGAGAGGTAGTGATTCAATAGTTTTGGATAAGATGGCAGAAGAGAGGGGATTGAGTTCAGGCTGTCTTCTTGATTGTTGTTGTGGTGTGCATGAAGATGTTTTCTACCTATTTAGATGCGAAGGTTGGAGATGTGGACTGTGCTGTAGTGAAGCACAGTATACTGGGGGATGGTTGCAGTTGTTACTTTGCCATGTTTGCTACTTTGCTGCCTTGTGGCTTTGTGGCAGACATGTCAAACACATGGCCCGTAGGCCAAATCCAACCCATGATAGGCCCAGAGTTGTCCTGCGGGGCTGTCCCGGAGACAGTGAGGGATCGGCCTGTGTTGCCCCGACCCTGGCCCATCCTGGCCATACCCACCCAGTTGGCTGTGATGATCAGGCCACACCCACCCCAGCCCCCAAAGGGCAAACAAAATCCTAATACGGCCCACAATGCGATCAAGCTTGACACCCATCCTTTATAGCATTTCCACAGCATTTTGCCAACTGTGGCTGCTAAGTAGTCCTGGCTTCTGCCAATGACTTTTTTTTTAATTGTTGGTAATTGGATCTGGCCGGACTTTTGGCTGCTTACTGGAGGAGAGATCTGCAGGATTGATCTTGGTCAGTAGTGATCAGGGAGAAACGGTCCCACCCTCATCCCGGAATGCTTCAGGATTTGGTCCTCTCTTCTCTCCTATTTAACATCTACACAAGTCTACTGGGTGAGTTCATCCATTACCACTGTAAACTAATGATACCCAATTATATATCACAGCCTGTGATGACCCAGGGTGGGATACAAAAACAACACAGGCACAAAAACAGGTGAAGTCCCTTTAATTCCTTCAACTTGGTCTCAAAGCTCCAAATATCCTTGACTGTAGACAAAAAACTCCCCCACAAACAGTTGCAAAAAGGACGAAATGCCATTTGAATGAAAAATACCTATACATTATAAACAGAAAAAATAACACAAACCACACTGAAGCAAATAAGGGAACCAGGCAAGATAAGGGTTTGAAGACGTCCACAGATATCAGAATACACACTGGGAAGGACGCCAAACTCAGGTAAGAACGGACAGACTAGAAATATTTTCATGCTTTGTTTCCAGCACTGATTCATGAGCAATCCGTCCTTTTAAATAGTTCTCCCAGCTGCAGCCCATGAAAGGGATCAAGGCCCTTTCCTTCCCCATAGACCACACCATTCACGTTTCTCCCTTATCCTCTCCTCCCTGCGTGCCCTAGGATGGAGAGGGGGTGGGACTGGGTCCTCCTCTGACTACCCAGCCAGCTGTCATGCCCCTGATGGAGACTGAGGAAGAGGAGGAACAGCCAACAGGGAGTGGAAGTGTGGCTCCAGAGGTGGTGGACGAGGCTGGGGAAGGGCAGAGGCTGGCTGAGCAATCAGAGGAGGATCCAGGGCCATCCCCTATCCATCCTAGGGCACGCAGGGAGGAGAGGATCAGGGAAAAAAGTGTGGTCTACTTGGGAGGAGAGGGCCATGACCCTCCTCATGGATTGCAGCTGTGAGCTCGGTAGAAGAGTTTGAAACAATGTATTCACAGATGCTGAAGTCAAATTAGTGTTGTCCTTGGATGAGCTTTATCTTTGTTGGTGTTCTTCCCATGGATTCTTCCCGGTTATCTTCCTGGAATGTGTGATTAATTATCTTGGTTTGCCTTGGAACCCTCATCAATATGGTTTGTTTCTGGTTTCCTTTTCCTTCAGTATCTCCTTTTGGAATTTAAACTGTGACTAATAAAACAGCGAAGTTAAGTTGAAGGCATTGCAAGACCTTGATTCATGTTTTAGTTTTCGTGTTATTTTTGAGGCACTACGGGTCATCACACCGGCCTGTGCCCTTCCCCAGCCTCCTACACAACCTCCAGAGCCACACTTCCACTCCCTGTCGGCTGTTCCTCCTCTCCCTCAGAGTCAGTCTCCAACAGGGGCATGACACAGCCATTGGCAAATTAAGCAGTGCTGTGGACATCGTATCCCGGTGCCTGAAGGCTGTGAGGGTCGGGATGAAGTACAACAGACTTCAGCTGAACCCTGGCAAGACTGAGCTTTGGGGCTATCAGTTTTAGGATTATGTCATTTTGGAGCTGGATGGGTTGCATGCACAGTTTTATGTCAGGCACCAATTGTGTCCATTCCTAGGTGGTGAAGCTTTGCTCACAGTCACTCATGACCTAGTCACCTCTAGGTTATATTTTTGAAATCTGCTGTCCTTGGAGAATATCTTCAGCTGGTGCAGAATGCAGCGACAAAGTTGAAAATGTGCTCCCGGGAAAGCACATGTCACACCTCTGCTCTGTGAGCTGCATTGGCTACTAGTTTGTTTCTGGGTCCAATTCAAAGGGTTGGCGTTCACCTTTAAAGATCTTCATGGGTTGGGGCAAGATTCTCTGAGGGACTGCCTCCCTCTCTGATTATGTCAACCCATTCCATTAAATATGGCAGAGGACACAAGCTACAAGTAGCATCTCCTAGGAACCTACATTTGGTGTATCTAGGATAGCACCCTTCTCTCCCATGGCACCTATTTTATGAAACGTTCTCTCACCCCACCAACTGAAGTCAGGTTAGTTCCATCCCTGTTAACATTCTAGAAGTCGTTCTCAAGACCCCGTTATGCTTCGTATAGAACCAATAACACCTTAAGATATTTCCACTATTGATATATTTATTGTCTCTGTGTTTATCATTTGTACATTTTAATATATTTTAATCTCAGTAATGATTATTTTATATTTTATAATGACTGTAATGATTGTACAGATAGTCCTCAACTTACAACAGTTTGCTTAGAGACCATACAAGTTACAACAGCACTGAAAAAAGTGACTTATGATCATTGCAGCTTCCCCATGGACATGGGAACGAAATTCAGATGCTTGGCTATTGACTCACACTTGTGACAGCGGCTGTGTCCCTGGGTCATGCGATCCCCTTTTGCGACCTTCTGACGAGCAAAGTCAATGGGAAAACCAGATTCACTTAACAACCGTGTGACTAACTTAACCCCTGCAGTGATTCACTTAACAAATGTGGCATGAAAAGTCATAAAATGGGGCAAAGCTCACTTAACAAATTTCTCACTGAGCAACAGAAATTTTGGGCTCAGTTGAGATTGCAAGCTGTATTTATATAACTGTTGTATTTTATAACAATAATAGCTGAAGAAACAGTAGATCCCCTGGTTAGTGGCTGTAAGATCACACAGATCTTTTAGCAAACAACAGCATTTCAAGATAGCAACAATATTGCACCGGAAGGTATGCAAGAAATATCATTTCCCTGCAAGCAAGAACTAACTATGAGACTATCAAATAGAGAAGGTAATAGAAAATGCAGAAACTGTGTTTTGGGATTTTAGAATTCAAACATACAAGAACTTGCCTCATAACACACCAGACTTAACAATTGTCAGTGTCAGGGCTCTGATAGTGACCCCCATTTTAATCATGAGTCTGATTAAATCATAGCCCGATTTTCAAAGCTCAAAGAAGATTTATTAAGAGAAGACATGCCGGTTCTGCCTGGGTGTAACCGACTCTGAGACACATCATTCATTGTCACCCTTGACCCTGGTTTCCCCACACCCCCTGGGTGTATTCATATTATCCAATGGGACACATCCATAGCCAAGAGTCATCAATCATGCTCTCCAGTTAGAATTTTGCACGGCAGAAATTTTGGTCGCCTGGAAACTATCTATGAAACAACCATGGCATGCAGTTTCATTTTTGCAGCTGCTACACTTACTCCTCCGTCCTTTTCTATTGGCAACACTAAAAAAACCAGAGAAATATTTTATGAGTTGACAGTCAATAAGAAAGGGAAAAAAGCGTAGATAGAGTAGATGGCAGTACTTGGAAGCAGAATAGAAGATAAAGAACAGGATAAGATACAAAACACAAAGACCTGCAAATAGAATTGGATCGACTGGGGTAAAAGAAAGCAAATGTAGTACCAATAGTAATAGGCGCTTTGGGAGCCCAGTTGAATACCATCCGCATTAATAAATCCACCACCAGTCATTTGTAAAAGGCAGCTTTACTCAGAATAGTTTATACAGTATTCTGTGACGATAACACTAATACCATAAAACATCACTATCTGCCTATTCCAGGTCCTTGGAAAGGATTCGGTAGGTAGACAAAAATGTCATATTCAATCTAAAAATCTGGCTGATTGTGCAACAAACCAATATAATAAAATCCTCTATCTTTTAATGTCTTATAAGCAGTGGTGGGATTCAAATGTTTTTACTACCGGTTCTGTGGGCATGGTGTGGTGGGTGTGGCGTGCTTGGTGGGCATGACTTGGTGGGCGTGGCAGGGGAAGGTTACTGCAAAATCCCCATTCCCTCCCCACTCCTGGGGGA